CTGAAGTGCTTCGGTTGTAGAAATGACCATTTTCTTATTATACTTGAGATATTTACAATATTCGACGAGCATTTTTTTCTTTTTTTAATTTAACGTGGAGGAAATCTGCTTGCCAGACATCCCCGCCCCGCCTGGGGGAGCGGGACGAGGGTAGTGTGGGGTTATACCCACTAAAACCTTCATGGCGACCTGAGGACGCTGATCCAATCGCTGGCGATTCAACGGAGAAGCTGCGGGAACTCTTAGGGAACACTACCGCGGCTCCCCCTCGCCTGGCCGGCCATCAAGATGGTAGCGACGGCCGACCACGTCACGGGAGGGGGGGGGGTGATTCCTCCCCCCTTCAATCGGTGGCGCGAGGGGTTGCACCCCGCACCGCCCCGACCCGGCGACCGCGCGAAAGGCGACCAGGGCCCGCGCCCTCATCACAGCGGCCGCCGGGGGGGGGCGAGTATATTAGATGATTATACTTAACCCTCGCCTCCTTGAGGCGACTCGACACCCCCCACTCCCAACAGGGGAGGACCTCTTCTGTTGGCGGGCGGCGGGCAATGAAACCAGCATGGTCTGGTACACTCGCCGCCCGCCTACTCTCAGCTGCCCAGGGGTTCTCGGCGTGGGCGCACACGCCGTCCCCGGGCCCGTCGGGCGGGATCGGTTTGTTCCCGATCCCGCTCGGCAGCCTCCTTCAGCGACATTACCTGTTCGCAGAAAGAGATTGCAGCCGCCCACTTCCTCGGGCTCTCCAGCATGGCCCCAACTAGGCTGGAGAGTGCGAGGTCGTGGCCGACTACCCGTTTTAGGACTCGGCGCAGCGCTGAAAAGGCGGGACATTCCCCCAGCGTGTGCTGCGCCGAGTCCTCCTCAGCGCCACAATGGTGGCACACCGTCGTCGTTTCCCGCCCGATGCGACACAGGTAGATACCGAAGCAGCCATGCCCGGTGAATACCTGCGTCGCTCGGTAGGAGAGCCTGCCAAACCGCCGCTCCCGCCACGAGGTGAAGTGCGGCAAGAGAGCCCCGGGGACGCTTTCGCCGGTGTGGGAGCAAAGCTCGGCACGCCATCCGGCTAGTCGCCGGGCCCGGAGCTCGAAGCCCTCAACCATTTCTAGCTCCGGCGCCCCCCCCCCCGGGCACGGCTGGCGATGCTTGTGCGCCTATAAACATAAGCACGCACTGCTGCCTGAAAATCGAAGGGAAGTTCCCCCGCCAGCGCAAGCGCCACCACGGTGGACG